TTCTATGCTCTCAGATTTAAAACACATGACATCGCACCATTATAATGTGACGACCAAATATTAATATTAATACTTTCTTTGCCTAATACCCGCAATAAGGGAAATGGGTTTATCACTCCTTATCATCATAAAAGCAACCGTCGAATCCAAGGGGTTTAATTTTACCAACAAACGGTTTTCTTGATTATATTAATTGAACAAGTAACTTATTAATACTAGAATTGTAAAATGATCTTCATGAAATCTGCTAAATAAATTGAACACAGTGGATAAAGATCATTTTGCATTCCAGCAAAGCTGACACAATCTTCTTCATTCTCAACCACATCCATAAGCTGAACAAATATATCCTTCATTACTTTAACTAGAACAAATTAGTTTGACAGATATTTTGTATCATATAGATTCTGAAATGACCTGGCAGCAGCAAATAGACCAAATTCACAGGCCACTGATGCTGGGACTTTTCAGATCATTCCATCACATTGTCGACCAATTTTCTTTTGCTGTGACAACTTATTATATAGGGGGTGACTGTAGAGGGGGATGACTGTATGTCTCTGTTGTAGTTGGGCTTTAATTCAGTGCCAGGTACATACATATCATATGCTCCACCTATTTCTTGATAGCTTAATCCATATTAATACTGATAGAATTCTGCATAGCTATCACTATGGGTTGTATATTAGCTTCACTTCTACTAAACTATTTATTTGACTCACAATAACTTGAATGTCAACTTGGTTCTAGTTGAGAAAAATTTACAAAGTCTTGCTCTTCATCTAATCTTGGTGACACTGCTTTCAATCATCTTCCATGTCATCTGGTATATAAGTGGCCATGCATCAATAGGACTAGTACTTGGGTCCATTCATACATTTCCATTCTGGATGTGGGTTGTCTACTTCCATAGCTTCATAACATTTACCAGTCAGACATGTGGTAGTTGGTTCTTTTCTACTAAAGGTACTGCTTCTCTGGTTCCATTTCTTTTTAATAGAACAAGCTTGCTTCTGGGGTATATCTACCATTGCCTTGTACTCAATAAGAAAGTTGGTTCCTAATATTAATATTAATATGGATGGGAGGTGACTTTGATAGATTCACCATCAATTCACAGTTTGAGGGAATTGGCATTTGTTGGTTTTGTGGGAAGGGGATTGGATGGTCCAAAATCTCTGAGCTGTCAGTGTCTGCTCTTTTTGATTTTCTGGCTGGTTTGTTTGTTTTAGCCTTTTTTGGAATGTGTTGGGGTAGTTTCACCCTTCTTTGTTGTGCCCCCTTGCTGATCAGTTTTTCCAATACCTCACTATCTCCAGAATTTTCCTTGGTAGTACCAGGATTTGGCTGGGGAATTTTTGATGAAGTCTTAGTCTTCATCACTGCTGATTATGATGTTGAAGGTGACTTGCTGACCCTTAGTATGGTTAGAGACCCTTCTGGCTTTTCTATGCTTTGGGAGTTTGGGTGCATTGAGTGCCTTCTTTCCATCCATATAGTCTGCTTCATAGACAGAACATATTAATATGGCTTCACAATTGCAGTTATGGGCCTCACACTGTTTACTTACCTTTACATTCTTCCCAGGGCTTTGGAGAAAACAGTGCCTTCTTCAAGGGAGCTTCTACTGCTGAGGGGCTTTTTCTTTCTTTTCCTGTAGTCATGACGACTCTAGGGAAGTTGGGTTGCTGGTAACTAGTTGTTTGTGGTGTTAGAGAGT